GGCGGGCAGTGCCGGTACTGCCCAGGGTCATGGTCAGTGCTGGTCCATTAGGGACGCAGTGTGCCGGGCACTGTCCTAAGCGCTTTTTCCTGTTAACTCACATTTAATCGTCACCACAATCCCCCCACACTCCCAGCAAAGCACAGACAGAGGCGTGGGGAATTTTACCCAAGACCACGCAGCAGGGAATCGTAGAGCCAGACTTGGAATCCGAGTCGTCTGATGCAGAGCTCAAGCCCATAACCACCCCTAGACTCCCAGCAGGAGGGAGGCCCCAAGCCTGGCGGGTCAGGAAGGGCGTCCAAGACGGGTGATGCCTGCCATCACGCCACCAAGGTCTCAGTGGCCAGCCACTGAGTGAGGGGACAAAGAGGCTGTCGGGCTGGGGAGCACCCCCAGTTCGTGCAGGATGAGAGGCGACTGGTTTCAAGGGGAAGCAGTTGGTCTGGCAGCCGGAGGGGGGCGGGGGTGCTGGGGGGTGCAGGGGGCCCCTGAAGGAGCAGGCAGGGAGCACCCTTAGGCTGGGCTGGTTGGTTGCCAAGGAATAGACACTCACACGAGTTCAAGGACACAAAGGCACCCATGGACACTGAGGAGAAGCAGCTAATGGCAGCGCGAGCGGCTCCCCTTCCACGGGAGGCAAGGCCTTTGCCTCAGCTCCCCCTGCGCCCCCTGTGTCACAGACTGGGAGGCGGGGCGGGGCCTGCATGCGGGGGATGGCGTTGGAGCTGCAGGGCAGGAGCCCAAAGGGGCAGGTGTGGCTCACACATGAGGAACAGCGAAGGGGACTCCTGGTGCCTAACCTGGGTGCAGAGACAGGGAATACGGCAGGGGAGCGGTGGGGAGGGTGTTGGCAACTGAATTGTGTTGTCCCCCCCCCCCCCCCACACACACACACACACAATGGAGAGAGGTTGGAGTCCCAACGCCCAGTGTGGCTGCATGTGGAGAGTGGGTCTTTAAGGAGGCAACTAGGTTAAATGAAGTCATAAGGGTGGGGCCAATAGGACTAGTATGAGAGAGAGAGAGAGAGAGAGAGAGAGAGTCCAGGGACCTCTCTCTCACACACACATGCACAGAGAAGAAGCCATGTGAGGACACAGAGAGAAGGCAGCGTCTACAAACCAGGAAGAGAGGCCTCACCAGAAACCACCCTGATAGCCCTTGATCTGGGACCTCTAGCTTCCCCAACTGTGAGAAAATAAACTCCCATAAGTCTACCCCGTCCACGGTGTTTTATCATGACAACCCTGGCTAACACCGAGGGAAAGACAATTCATTCACACGTGGATGAAGACACAGGAGGTGGATTTAAGGCAAGCCAACTGAGCTAGAATTGCTGGGGCGCGGTGATTCAGTGGAAAGAGAAGGCAAGAAGGAGTGTGGAGGAGGAGGAGGAGGAGGGAGAGGAGGAACAGGAAGAGGAAGACGAAGAGGAGGAGGAGGAAGGGATGTTGTCCAGGTTTCAGTCTTGCACAGCGAGGGAATTGTGGTGATGCTCACTGAGTCTGAGTTTGGGTACTGGACCTGGGCAGGCAGTGTAGGTGTAGTTAGGATTTCTTGGTTGTCAGGAGGAGAAACTTAACGGTAGGAAATTAGGGGAACGATAACGGAAGTGGAACGGCATTGAAAACCAAGGTCCGGGTTTTTCCAACAAATGAACTCATAGTCACATTCAAATTCTTCACTCGTTTAATACAATGCCTTAGAGATCATTCCATCCACAGGCACAAACCTACATTATTCTTTGCATCTCCAGCTATTGTTCTGTTGAACAGAGGAGACATCATCTGTCTATTCACCGTCCACCTGCAGAGTTAGGTCATATCCAAACACACTTTACTGCAAACACCGCGTCAGGAGCACCCTCGCACGTTTTCTCTGTGCGCAGCCTAGATTCCTGGCCGTGAACGGCTGGGTTGAAACGGATGTGCATTTTGTGTGCTGAGAGCGACTGCCAAATTCCCTCTGAAAAGACTGTACCATTTATACTTCTAGCCAGAGAGGATACATGCACTTACTGCTTCATAACCCTGTGTATGTTTCTTAAAACTACTTGGAGTCATGACCCCTTTAAATTCTGCTGGAAGCTCTGAGTCCTCGTTGTAGGGAAACACGAAGATGTGCATATACAGAGCCCTTTGCAGGTGCACAGGCCACCCGGGCTTCCCACGGCTTTATAGGAAGGACCCGAGTAGCAGTGTTTGAATGGGCCTCACGGTCTAGACCAGTGCGTCTTAATCTCAGCTGTGCATTCGAATCACCTGGGGAGCTTTGGGAAATCCCCGGGCCTGGCCACTTCCCAGACCCGTCTGAGCAGATTCTCTAGGGAACAGATCGAGGTAGCAGTATTTTTTGCATGTTTTCCGGGTGATTCTAACATGCACGCAATGGCAAGAACCATTGCCACCTAGGAGAGGCCTGTAGAAAGATTAAAATAATAATAATAATAATAATAATAATAATAATGTGAAGGTAGAACAGGGGGAAGTGCACCCGTGGCTCTCAGGGCCCAGACGAGGCTGCAGGAGCCTTCACTGTAATGAGGGGTGGGGCTGGGGACCTGGCATGGATACCCATGTTTTCGTTGGGGAGATGTTCCAGGTGATTCTAAGGCGTGGCCAAGGCCAGAGTCCTGGTGCAGGCGAGGCCTGCCGGGGAGAAGGCACCCTGAGGGGTGAGAGCAGAAGGAAGAAAAGTCAGATGCACTCCGAGAACTTGCAACTTCCAAGCAACCGGCAAAGGGCAGCACCAGCTCCCGCGGTGGCTCTGACCAGGGGCCTGGCCAAGGGGGTGGGCAGCCGTCACCACCGGCTTCAAGCTGCCGTGGTGGGAGGAGGCTTCATGGAGCTGGATCCTTTAAGATCTTTCTTTATTTAAAATACATTTTTATTTATTTCAGAGAGAGGAAGAGAGAGGAGAGAGAGGGATAGAAACATCAATAAGAGAGAATCGTTGACCGGCTGCCTCCTGCACACCCCACACTGGGCATCGAGCCCACAACCCGGGCATGTGCTCTGACCGGGAATCGAACCATGACCTCCTGGTTCATAGGTCGCCCTCAACCACTGAGCCACACGGGCTGGGCATGGAGCTGGGTCTTAAAGAATCCAGACACATTTGACCCGAGAGGAGGCATTCCTAGTGGGAAAGGAAGCTCCTGTCTAGGGCTGGTTCAGGCTGCTCACAGCTCCTCCATCCCAGGCTCAGCCTGGAGTCCTGTGAGCAATTCCTCCCCAGGTCCTGCTGAACCCACTCAGCCAGGCTCACGGGGCCCCACACCCTCACCCCCTGGCCCCAGCGTCCCTCCTTTCCTGGGCCGAGCCTCCCCTTTAGAGATGTTCTGTCTCCCAGGCCAGTGGTTCTCGAAGGCAGGCCCCGGGAGCAGCAGCAGCAGCGGAACGTTTGCCCGCTCGGGCCCACCTGACCTCTGCACGGCCCTCAGGGCTCGGATGCAGCCCCGAGTCTGAGGGTCCGTGTCCCGGGGCCTTGGGCCAGGTTTCTCCCTTCCCTCTGTCCTCTCGGCGTCCTCTCCCCAGGGCTGGGCTCAGGTCAGGGAGACACAGGAAGAGTGTTCGGAAACTCAACTGTCGCCAAGACTGTGGGGACTTTGGGTTTGAAAGTAAAGAAAGGAGCCATGCGACTTTCTGTCCAGGGGAGGGAAAGTGTTAAAATGGCGTTGGAGGCCAGGTAACAGCATTTTATTTTCTTTAAATATATTTTTATTGATTTCAGAGAGGAAGGGAGAGAGAGAGAGATAGAAACATCAATGATGAGAATCATTGATTGGCTGCCTCCTGCATGCCCCCCACTGGGGATCGAGCCCAGGAATCAAACCATGACCTCCTGGTTCATAGGTCGTGGCTCAACCACTGAGCTATGCCAGCCAGGCGGTAACATCATTTTAAAAATGCAAGTTGACCCCAACCGCCCTGAAATCACAGGCAAAACCACGCATATGCATCTTCTGAGGAAGAGGTTTCGCAACTTCCATTCGATTTGCAAATGAATTCAGAATGAGTCCGTGATCCGCCAAAGAGGAAATGATTTCGTTGCTCGCTCAGTTACATTAGCTGTGGAGGCCGCGTCTCTCCGAGTGCGGTTAGGTCGGAACTGTGTGGTCGGTGCTGAGGGTAACAGTGCGCGTCCTTGGACTGGACCCTGGACCTGCTGCGACATCAGACTCTCGGGAGCTGGCACCGAGGAACCTGCATTCTAAGACAGACTCCCTGAGTGGTTCTGGGTGATTCTGACGCGCTCTGAGCGTCACGAACGGCCTGGGCTTCAGTCTGAAAAGCCACCAGTTCCAGGAAAGCTACGTGAGTGGGGTGTAGAGCCCGTGGAGCACTGAGGCCTGGCGCGGGCACACGTCGCCTTCCAGGACCACAGCCCACAGCCCGGAACCTCGGCCCGGGAAGCCCTCTCCTGCCGCAATGCCCCCCGCAAGCGTGTTCTCTGTGCTTCCCACGCGGACAGCAGCCCTGAGTAAAGTTCGTCCTCAGATCACAGCTCAGCCTCCCAGAGCTGGTGAGGACCAGGCCCGCTGCTCCCCTGGCAGAGGGAGAAGCGATGACCACAGGGAAGGCAGAGGGAGGGGAGGTGACCACGGGGAAGGCAGAGGGAGGCGAGGTGACCACGGGGAAGGCAGAGGGAGGCGAGGTGACCACGGGGAAGGCAGCAGGAAACTCCTGACCACGTGAGCCTGGAGGCAGGCCAGCCATCTTCCTGGGGGAGCCTTCCCCCCTCCCGCCTCTGCCCATGTGCTTGGCAGAGTTCGCCCCCAAACGATGACGCATTTTGAGTGATGACTTCTGTAAATGTAGACCTTAGACCAGTGATGGCGAACCTTTTGAGCTCGGCGTGTCAGCATTTTGAAAAACCTTAACCTAACTCTGGTGCTGTGTCACATATAGAAATTTTTTGATATTTGCAACCATAGTAAAACAAAGACTTATATTTTTGATATTTATTTTATATATTTAAATGCCATTTAACAAAGAAAAATCATCCAAAAAAATGAGTTCGCATGTCATAGGTTCGCCATCACTGCCTTAGACAGCAGCCACGTGGGACGGAGCTCATGGACGTGCACTGGAAGGGAAGGGTTTTCTCTGGGCGGAGGGAAGGAACGGGAGGCCCTGGGCGGGCGAGTTGTTGAGGATGCGAGCGCTGCAGGGTCCTGTCCAGGAGCTGGCGATGCGGGCGGTCATTTAGGCGCTCGGGGTGCCCACTCCCCGGGAACATAGGAGCGACCCTCACCTGTCCTCAGGAGAGCAAGTGCGAGTTCATGGGAAGGAGCCGCCGCAGCCAGAGTCACTGATGGAACCAGAAAGGCGTACGGGGCATGTCTGTCTCCAGGGATCTGTGCTTTCCAAGCCTGCTCTAGGGAGAGTGACAGCTTTTATAAACAGGGAAGAATGACAGAATCACAGCTTTGCTTCCTCTCTCTCTCTCTCTCTCTCTCTCTCTCGTTTTGTTAATCCATACCAAGGATATTTTTCCACTGATTTTTAGAGAGAGTGGAAGGGAGAGGGAGAGACAGAGAACATCGATGTAAGAGAGGCCATCAGTTGGTTGCCTCTTGCCCGTACCCCAACCAGAGCCAGGAACCTACAACCAAGGTATGTGAATCGAACCCGGGACCCTTCAGTCTGCGGGCCGACGGTCTACCCACTGAGCAAGACAGGCTAGGGCTGCCTTTTCTTTTTATACTTAAGAGAAGGCGCCAGGAAGAGAGAAAAGACAGGAAAACAAAGAGACGCGCTCAGGCTTGGGGGAGTCTGCCTCTATTGCGAGTGACGGCAACATGACCCCCGAGCACCCTAGCCAAAGCGCAGGCGGCAGGAGTCAGAAACGGGAGAAACTGGGAGCCCTGGACTAGTGCTCCCCCCCCCTCCCTCAGGTCCCAAAGCAGAGGGGTTAGGTCACTGTGTGCCCTGCCCCCGCCCCTCTCCAGGGCTGTCCTCCCCTGTCCAGTGCCAAGCCTGGGTCTCCAGCATCAAAGTAAAGAAATAGAACAAACCCATCCAGGGCGTCTTTAAAAACCCATCCAGGGCGTCTTTAAATATTCAGATGCGCCCCTCACGGCTAAATTAAGCTTTCCTAAGAAAAAGCAAGTCAATTAGTTCAAAATGTGGGTTAGTGCTTCTGGGTATTTAAAAGGGGATTTTTTTTTTTCTTTTTTAGTTCATTTAGAAACATAGCCACGGGGCAGGCCTAGACCCGCTCCTCAGCACATCCCTGAATTGCCACCAGATTCCCAGATACTCAGTTCTGACACCCAGAGCTTCGAAATCTGGTCCTGAACGTTCTCGAAGTCACAAAGGCGTGGCCATAGGAGTTTTGAGCGGATCCTGCTTTGTCCTTTTCCTTCACATCCTCTGTCTCCACCGGCATACGGAGGGATCGCCCTCCAGGCGCCTGGCCCGCTACAGCACAGGCCTCCCTGCGTCTCCCTCGCCTCCCTCAGCGACCGCGAGCTCTCTAACGCCTGTGAGCAGAGGCAGGTCTCCGCCATCGGGGCAGGCGGCTGTGGAGCACACTGCGCATGCACTGAAACCCATCTGCCCAGGTTGTCTCCGTGCAATGAGCCCAACTTGACCAAAATGCAAATAGAATTCGGTATTTCTTAAGAACAGGAATTCCCAGAGGCAATTTCTGGGCCCTAGAATATGACCGCTTCCATGGCTTTCTTAAAAGGCTATCTCAATTGATATTGACAATAAAAAATAGGAGAATAACGTTTTCATACCAATATTAGGGTATAAAGTGTTGTTGTTTTGTACATTATTGTTGCTTGTTTTATTTCGCTTTTACTAAATTAATAGGCTATTTTTAAAAATATAGTAGATAGTTTCAGGAACATTTTATGTTTGGAGACAAATATAAATAGCTCCTCCATTATTTAAAATACACATATTTGTTACAAGACATTAACACATATCTCCGTTTCCACCTTAATTAGTATTGCAGTGACACTGAAATAAAGGTCATTGAATAATAGGTCTAAGATCCACTTCAGTCCTACACACCCTTTGAAGATATGTTACGAAGGTAAAGAAACTATATTAATTTTACTTGAACGTTGACAGCCCTCACCCTGGACTTCTTTGTTGAGCAGATGAAGTTTTGGTATCAGAATATGACGACAGCAGAATATCGTAGGCTCCACAAGAACACAATGGCCTTCTGGAGAACTACGTTCCCCTCAGACTGCTTGCTTTAAAAACATCTAGGAGACCAGTGGGTGAAAAGATAATTATAGTTACCAGGTAGCAACCAGAAACTAAAAACCCCTCTCCTGTCAATCCTTGTGTTAAGTTCAAGCTGACCTGCTTTTTGACAAAGCATCACAGATAAAAACAGGCAACTCTCCCCTCGCTCCCTCCCGGGAGATGTAGCTGGGACAGCCCGGGGGTTCAACAGAAAACCTCTCCTTCTAGTCTGGTGGGTTTGTGGGCATTCCTTTGCCTCTAAACCAGGGGTGGGGAACCTTTTTCCTGCCAAGGGCCATTTGGATCTTTATAACATCACTTGAGGGCCATACAGAATGATCAACTTAAACATTAGCCTGCTCTATCTGGTCAAACATCTAATTAGTCTTGACAGGGCCAGATCAAATGATTTCTCAGGCGCGGGCCGGACATTCCTCACCCCTGCTCTGAACTTTTCCTGTCATTCTCCCAAGACACAAGTGGGTCCCTACACCCAACAGCCCAAGAAAACAGTCCCAGTGCGTTAGGTGCCAAGTGGCAAAGGTGAGCTGCCTCTTGGGCCAGGCCCGCTGTGCTCAGGGCCCCAGCCTCGGTCCAAGATGATGCCAACTCTCAAAGATTCCCAAGTCAGATGGCACACGTATTTTAAGGAAGTTGTTCCCTTGAAGACTCCTTCCTTCCTTCCTTCCTTCCTTCCTTCCTTCCTTCCTTCCTTCCTTCCTTCCTTCCTTCCTTCCTTCCTCCCTCCCTCCCTCCCTCCCTCCCTCCCTCCCTCCCTCATTCTCTGGTTCCTAGAAGCTCAGTGTGGTCCAGTGACTCAAGCCTGGGCTGTGGGCCTCACTCTCCTGCCCAGTGAGGTCTGGGCAACCTGGGCTCTGGGAGACCTGGCCGAGCCGCTCACCCTCTGGGAGGCTCCTGGCCTTGGTGTTTTGTTTATCACCAAGCCTTCAGAACAAGAGCTAACCTTTGGATGTTTGCTAATGCTCCAGGCACTGGATTGCCTCCTTCACTAATATTAACCCATTCAACTCTCACAACCACCCTAGGATGGAGGGGCTATTATTATCATCATCCAGATAATAAAGTGGGAGAACTGAGACACGAAAGAGGGCCCCTGGTAAAGCCAAACCAGGCGTCAAACCCGGGCAGACTGGTTTCAAAGATGAAGTTTTGAACCACTTGGCTGCATCCCCTTCCGTGGGGGTTAACTCTCTCCACACATGCATATGGCATATGTGTACGTTTACCGGGCGTCCACCGTGTGCCAGCCACATGCTCGGGAACTCTGCTGGCAGGGAATCAGGCTGGCCGTGACCGATACGACATAGATCTTGCTCTTCTGGAGTTTTCTTCTTCCACTTTGTAGAGTGGGATGGCACGGGTTCTGTTTTCATCCGAGTTCAGAAAAACATTGCTCAAGACGGTCTTCAATGGGAGTCCAAGGAATTCAGTAGTGAAACTCTGAAACCAAGGCGTGTCAAACTAGCTTCAGTCTGAAGTCATATTTAAGCTCCCAAATACTTGATAAGTCTTTTAGTGATTAAATCAAGAAAGCCTGGCCTGGGAGGGGTGAGGTAGAAACAAGTGATGAACTAAGAAATGACTTAAAGTGACGAACCAAAGGTTTTTCTGGCCTCTGCCCCCAGGAGCCCATATAATTCCTTGAATTTATCAGTTTAAATCCTCCCCAACCCCCCTGTCTTAATACATAAATGCCTTCTTCCTCGATTCCTCACTCACTTCTGTAGTCACTTCCTCTCGTGCAGCGGTTCTCAACCTTCCTCATGCCGCGACCCTTTAATACAGTTCCTCATGTTGTGGTGACCCCCAATTTCATTGTTACAAACTGAACATAATTAAAGCATAGTGATTAATCACAAAAACAATATGTAATTATATATGTGTTTTCCAATGGTCTTAGGCGATCCCTGTGAAAGGGTCGTTCGACCCCCAAAAGGGGTCTCGACCCACAGGTTGAGAACCGCTGCTCTAGTGTGTCCTACCAGAGAGGGAATTCCTGGTAAGGAAACAGTAAACCAAAACAGTCATTACACTCTTTTTAACTTGCAAACAATAATGTTGCCTTGTAGTTACTTTTGGCCTCATTTTTTAAAATATATTTTTATTGATTTCAGAGAGGAAGGGAGAGAGAGAGAGAAACATCAATGATGAGAGAGAATCATTAATCAGCTGCCTCCTGCACACCCCACACTGGGGATGGAGCCCACAACCCGGGCATGTGCCTTGACTGGGAATTGAACTTTGACCTCCTGGTTCATAGGCTGATGCTCAACCACTGAGCCACACCAGCTGGACTGTCCTGATTTTTAAATGTAGACATTCAGATCCATGTTATTTTAAGATTTTTCACCAAGAAGTTTCTTGCCAAAGATAGGATTTCCCTAAAGCACAGAAGCTGTTCATTCCTTCCTTCCAGGGAAATGACAGGGGGGTGGGGGGGGGGCGGGGGGGGACTCTGCAGGTCCCAGGCACCAGCCTAACCCACGAAGGCATATTGGTTTAGCAGAGGAACCAGGCAGATAAAGGATAACTATGTCAGTTATCTAACAGATGATGCTCAGAAGACTGGAAGCCGAGAGGAGGAAGAGCTGAGTATGTTTCATGATAACCGTAACCTTCCCATAAGCGTGACCTGGAAATGGGAGTGGCTGGTTATAAATGAGGGGGAAACATTTGCAGGGTTTCCTTCTGGAACAATCATGTCACGACCTTCCCGTAATCTAAGAAATGGAGAAGCACTCATACACGGATGGTACTTTATCATGTGATCACAGGGACCAAAGATATGGCGCATCGTGTTGGAGTTGTGCACATCTTAGTGCAGATTCTAGTAAAGAGTTCTCGGACAGTCAAATCATTGCAATCAACGTTCCGCGCAGCACTGGAATCATTTTTTAAAAAAATATATTTCACCGATATTTTACAGAGAGGAAAGGAGAGGGATAGAGAGTCAGAAACATCGATGAGAGAGAAACATCAATCAGCTGCCTCCTGCACACCCCCCACTGGGGATGTGCCCGCAACCAAGGTACATGCCCTTGACCGGAATCGAACCTGGGACCCTTCAGTCCGCAGGCCAACGCTCTATCCACTGAGCCAAACGGGCCAGGGCATGGAATCATTTTTCTAAAAGAAGGTATGCACTCTGCGCAGGAAATAAAGCAAGCTTCCTGTGCGTGGTGAGGGCGGGCTGGATGGACTTCAGGATGGGGAGAATCGAAGGCAGGGCTGGGCTGAGGGCAGAAGCCAGCCAGGATCGCCTCTCTCCCAAAATAAGCAGGAGAAAGCTTTTCTCAGTGTCTCAGGTTGGAATTGCGTGTGTGGAAGCACCGGATGCTATTGAGGGGTCATTTATTAAACCTCCTTTATGAGCTCCCCTGTAACTATGTATTGCTGGGTTTTTTAAAGTAAGCAGCTTGGGGAGGGGGGCGGACAGCGGGAGAGGAGTCAGTGGTAGGTTCACAGCCGCTCGGTTTTTCTGGTTCTTCCCGGTGAATACTAACCTCAAGAGGTGTTTTCCAACATGTGACGACGTATCGTGATGGGCAGAGGATTTTGGAAGCGGATCAAGGACTGGCGCCAGGAGCCGACTCAGCCAGCCTCCCTGCGACCAGGGCCGGCCCGCTCTCCAAGGTGCGTCCTTGGTCCGGGACGCCGGCGGGAGGCCTGCAGGTGGTTTGCAAACTGTCCAGGCAGCATCTGAAAGGGCTGTTTTTGCAAGTCCGTTAAAAAATCCCCTGCACTTGGAGGTTTTTTGTTTTGGGGTGTGCGCTTGCGTGCGTGTGCGTGTGTGTGTGTGTGTGTGTGTGTGTGTGTGTGTGTGTGTTGGTTCTGCTCGTCTCCACCCCCGCCTCTGGCTTTTTCCAGCGGAGACCTGCCCTGGGGGGTATTTTGTCCTGGGAGCACAAAACTATTTTCCTTTTCTGAACAGAAGTTGACGTCAACC